GTAAATGAAATAAAAATGAAACAAATACACAGAACGCAGACAGAGATCCAGCCTCTTTAGCGGAGGCACTAATGCCAAGACTGAGTGTAAAGCACAGAGGGGGCGGGGGTGGGGAGGGTGGTTCTGTGCCATGGTCGGTTCTGACTCATAGCGACCCTGAACAGGGTTTCCGAGGCTGTAAATCTTTATGGGAGCAGAAAGCCTCATCTTTGTCTCGTAACGGCTGGTAGCTTCAAACTGCTGACCTTGAGATAACAGCCCAACTTGTGACTGTTACACTACCAGAGCTCCTCGTAAAACACAAAAGGTCCCCTTAATGTGCGAAGCCCAGGGTGAGGAGCCATGGCCAGTCTCGGGAAAGGCTGTGAGGGTGCTGCTGAGTGGGACTCTTCACCCAGAAACACCAGGTCTGCATCCAGTGTCAGCATGGTTTTCTGACTCACAGCCACCCTAGAGAGAGCTTCTAAGGCGGCAGATCTTCACGGGGTTGGCAGCCACATCGTTCTAAGGACAACTCTAGGAGAGACTTGTGAATAAACCCTGTACTTCCACATCAGTCCCAGCTTCAGAGAGACTTGTTTCTCCATTGTGTGACTGGGTATGGCATTGCGTGTCATCAGCCTCCCTAGTCAATTTCCAGCATAATTCTGAACATGCCAAGGGGCCCCAGAGCTTATAGGTCTCGGTCCCTAGCAGACACAGGGCTGATATTGTACCCTTGTGCCTTCTTTCTTCTTATTCTGATAAAATATAAACGACATAAAATTGGTCATTTTGACTCTTTTTAAGAACTTCTGACTGTGATTTGGTTTTCCATTCAACAATTCATACACAATTTGGGGCGTGTGTTTGGGGATTGGTTGTGGTCCCCATAATGTAACAGCATTCCTCCCTCTCTCTCCCTGTGTTCACCTTTCATGTTCCTCCCTGCCTTTTGAGTATTAGCACAGAGTAAAGGCTCAGCCCTTTTGATGTGACATGGTTGATGCTAAGAAACGCCTACCTCCCTGCTGTGGCTGTTCACCATCTGGCTGAAATATGAGCCACAGAGGTGAGTTCAGTTCCAGGTCTAAGGGGTGTCAAAGGTCACAGTCTCACAGGTTCCACCAGTCTCTGTCAGACCAGTTAGCCTGGACTTTCCTCTGTCATTTTAACTCATTTTAAATGTACAATTTACTGGTACCAGTGGTGTTTTCACACTATTTATTTCCAACCTTTGTCATCACCCCAGAGTTCTGTAGCCATCAAATAACAGCCTCCTATCCCCTTCCCCTTGAGCCTGTTTTGCTGGTTAGTGCCACTGAGTTGGTTCCAACTTGTAGCAACTCTGTATAGGGTTTCTGAGGAGTGGCTGGTGGGTTCAAACTGCCGACCTTGCAGTTAGAAGTCCAGTGCTTATTCTATAGTGCTACACCAGGACTCTGACAAATAACAGCCTCTCCCATTTCCGTTGAGCCCTTGGTAACTACTAACCTATTCTTCTTTGTCTCTCTAAATAAGACATTTGCCTACTCTAAATACTTCCTATAAATGGGATCCTACAAGATTTGACCTGTGTGTCTGACTTATTTCACTCAGCATCAATGTTTTCATAGTTCATGCATGTTGTGGTGTCACAACTTTATTTCTCTTGGCTGAAAAGAGTCCATTTGGCTTATTCATTCATCTGCTGATGGGCACATTTAGGGTATCTCCACTTTGGAGCTACTGTGAATACTGCTACAATGAACATGGGTATACAAGTAACTGTTTTGTTATTGTTGTTGTTTAAAAGATTTTACGGTTTATTAATCCTCTGGTGAAAAACCCAGTCATCGCAGAATCTTTGTTCCTTCTTTTTGCCAGCACCAACATTGGCCTTTGCAGTCCCCCTGACTTTCTTCATTCTGTTTTTGTGTTCCTTGTGCTGATTCCTTGAGATTTTCTTCTCACACAGGCCATGTCTTGCAAGTCTGTGTTTGGGTTCATTTTTCTTTGCATAATCCAAGGAATCATAAATCAAGCCAAAGCCAGTAGTCTTGCCACCACCAAAATGGGTTCTGAATCCAAACACAAAGATGACATCTGGTGTTGTCACATACATTTTGGCAAGTTTTTCCTGAATTTCTGTCTTAGGTACTTGCCTTCCTGGGGTGAAGGCCATCATTGACCATTTGTTTCCACTGAAGCAGTCGGTTGCTCATGAACTTCCTGGCCCTGACAGTTCTGTGTCCTTCAGGATGGTGGCAGATGCTCAGGCAGTTGGGGAGGACAAGCACAAGTAACTGTTTGAGTTCCTTCTTTCCATTCTCTGGGGCTCATACTTAGGAGAACTGCTGAGTGCCTTTGGTTTGGAGCGCCGCAGTTGGCACACAAGAATCTAAAGCAGAGCTTGGTGGTCAGATGGAGACTACATCTGTTCCATGCAGTAACTGTCAAGTGGCACCTGTCTGTAATACCTGCAGCAAGGGTCTGTCTTTACGGAAACGTATCCCATAAAGTCCACGACACCATCAGATTCATGTCCCGGGAACTGTCACTTACCTTTACAATTCAATGAAGTTTTTCCATCATAATTTTTCAGAGTGATCATTTTAAAACTAAAGCTGAAAGCTATTTGGGTTGACAACTTTTTATATAGCTAGCTTTTTTATTATTTTTTTTTTACCTTGGAGGCGGGGAGGAGAACAGACAAGGCTTTGTTTCAACACTCGTGAACCATTTCTGTCAACTGTTCTTCGTTGCATTAAAACACAAATTGAGAGCAAAAGCAAAGTATTCATTAAAAACACACATGGGGTAACATGCAAGGAGAAATGAAGAAATGGCAGGCAGAGACAGAGCAGACCCAGTCATTATCGAAACTGAAAGAGTGATGGCTCTTGCGGTTCTCGATAATTTTGCTGATAAGCCCTTGTCTAATTAATGACTCTTTCGCCAGCTAAAAATAGCAAAATGCTTGAGCAGATGGTGCTAGAAGAGAACCTTCCCCAAACCCTCTCTGAGACACTCAGCACTGAAGGGAGGGAGAAAGGGATCGCAGTTTTGCATTGGGAAAAGCTCTCATAATTATCCTCAGTTTTAAAAGCCCCAAGTGTTGTGGTAAATGTTACTGAATTGTTTTTAACTCATAGCGACTCTGTATAGGATTTCTGAGGAGCAGCTGGTGGGTTTGAACCACTAACTTTGTGGTTCAAACTGACCTTGAGGTCCAGCACTTATCCAACAGCATCACACCAGGAATCCAAAACCCCATGGTCCCTGGAAATGAGTCCTGTTTGTATATCCTTGCTGGGACTTTGGGAGTGGTACATTTTCTCATTTTCTTTTCATATGAAAGCGACTTCACCTTAAAAGGATCTAATAAGAGTGTGGTATTAATTCACCAAATATGAGACTTTCTTCTTCCTGAGACCCCCCCAATCAGAGAAGACTGGGTGGTCTCTGAACAGTGCTCGAGAACCCACAGGACAGTGAGAGAAGCAACGAGAGAAGAGCCACCAACTAAGTAAAATTTCCAGAAATGTTCTCTCTCTTTTATCTTTTGTTTTCCCAAGCCTATTGCTGGGGAAGGCCTGGGAAGGAGGGGTTGCTAAGTGTCACGTTCATCCGTGGGAGGTGCAAACAGGTAACAAGCTCAGCTGTTAACCAAACGGTTGGAGGTTCAAGTCCACCTAAAGGTGACATGGATAAAAGGTCTGGTGATCTACTTCTGAAAAAAACCAGGAACTGAAAACTCTAGGCAGCGCAGTTCGACCTTGACACACAGCGGGTCACTATGAGCTGGACAACAACACTCACTGTTTTCACATCCGTAGTATCGAATGTCAAGCCCAAGCAGCAACACAACTTCACTCCTTAACAGCCCTGGGGGCTCCTGGCCAGCCTGTCAACTGCTTGGCTGACTAATACTAACTAATGAGGTCGCTTTGGCTACATTCTTTTGGGTTTGGGTAAGGCTTAAAGCGAATGAAATGCCTCCTTCTCTGAAAGCAATCAAACAAACAAAGCCAGGTTTTCTTTTCCCAGGCAGAGAAAGCATTAATATGTTCCTGAACCCGGCTCACCTTGAAGATACATTTCCTCTCCTTCTGTGAACATCTGGTTGCATCTGCTGCATCGTGCACAGCTGGGGTGGTAATGCTTGTCACCCGCCTGCAAGAGAAAAGGTGGCCAGTAGTCAGTATCTTAAGTCATGCTTCCTGTCTTCTTTTCAGGGCTTGCACATTTGGAAGGAAAGGGAAGATTCTGTGGAAGGAAAATACTTATCTACTTAACTAAACTCCCTGGACCAAATAGCCCCAGGAGGGAGCCACATCAGTGAGTGCTCCTCATGCCTGCCACGAGGAGGCGTTCTGACCCTGGAGTCTCTGGTTTCCATTTCCCCTTGACCTGGCTTTCTGAGCTGGCTGTCAGTTACATACCATGTGTCTGAGACACATCCACTCTTTCTCCCAAAACCCCACCTCAAAAGCATTACAATCTGAATTTATGTTGGAGGCTAACATTCATGCATGCTAGACCAATAGCAATAAATGATCCCTGTCATTTATAAGAATTATAGGCTCTTGTTTTCTTGGTTAAATAATCCAAAAATACTAAAACGATAGAAACACCATTGCTTTCCTCTCAAAGGAGCCTGATCTTATCCTAGGCTGCTGACAAGGACCTCTTGCCCATGTCTTGTATAAGGACTATTCTGAGGACAGCATTTTACTGAGGGAATGCCATGCTAATCCTGGGCATTTCGCATCCCTAATTCTGACAGATGCTGCCATATAGGTGCTGACTTCCCCAGGGCTCAGTATCACTGGGCTCAGGGACAATTCTCTAGACAGATGCCAAGTCACATTAGGGCTACACTCCACCAGTAGTACATGCTTAATGAAATCTTCTCATTCACAGCTTAGCAAAAAATCATCACCACCTGAAAGTTACCATACATAGTGTAGGGTTAAATCGTCTTGTCAGTCAACTGTGGAAACATTTTTCTGGCACAAGCCATGTGCAAGGCAGGGCTGAGAGACCACAGTCAGAAGTGGCTGCCCCTGTGTGAGAGCCGGCACAATGTCGCTACAGGAAGTCAGGGGTCAGGAAGTGATTCCTTTCTCACACCCTCCTGTGGGAACTACAAAAACCCCTTAGCGATCTCAGAGTGAGAGGATGGTCAGCTTCTCAGTGCATGTATGTACATGTATACATACATGTGTGTACATGTGTACATGTGTGTGTGTGTGTGAACCCAACCAACCCAACACACATTGAAGTGATTTAAAATCAGAAACCAAGAATGATGTCTCTTCAGTGGTGCCTGCCAGAAACTTCCGTTAAGTGCTGCTGTGGTTCTTATGCACACACTGATATTTTCACGGAGGTGGGTGGGTAAGAAATGTCAATACAGAGTAGCTCCTGCCCTTAGCCCTTCTGGGTCAGTGTGAATTAAAGGAGGCCGAGAAAAGGTTTAAACAGTTGCCGTCAAGTGGCTGACTGACTCTCGGTGACCCCAAGTGTACTGGGTAGTTACCTGGCCTTAGCAATGGTGAAAGGAACCTTGGTGGTACAGTGGGTTAAGCACGGGCCCGTTACCCACAAGGTTGGCAGTTCAAACCCAGAAAGAAAAGGCAACTGGCTTCTGAACAGATTTGCAGCCTTAGACTCTCTATGGGATCTTTAAGAGTGGGGATTGACCCAATGGTAGTGGGGAAGCAATGGAGAAGAAGGATGAGGCATAACCCCGGCTAGTCATGTGCTTAAGGTGGGGAACCTAGCCCCTAACTGGTGCAAATGGGTAATGAGCTCAGCTGCTACACAAAAGATAGGCAATTTGGGTCCACTCAGAACTACCTGGCTATCTATTCTGAAACACCAACCACTGGAAACCTCATGGAGCACAATTCAGCTAGCACACATGGGGTTGCCATGGGAAGGCACTGACCCAACAGTAACTTGTTACTGGTTATCGATGAGGAAGCTGAGGCCAGGAGTGGCCACACAGTGAGGCAGTGGTGGTGTGGGGAACCCGGCAGTCTGCCTCTGGATTGGGTCCTTCATGACCTATAGTTGTCATGGTGACCCATGCATTACAGAGTGGAAATGCTCACTGGATTTTCTCAGCTGTCATCTTTATCCGAGCACTTCACCAAACTGTTCTTCCAGGGTGGGTTCTGACTGCCAAATTTTACATTAGCAGTGGCTCACATATTGTTTGGACCATACGTATCCCCACACCTCATGACCATACCCATACTACACTGCGGTAACAACTTCACAGTGATGTTTGGGTGAACTGTCAAATAGAAGTTTGAAATAATAATGACAGGACTAACAATGGAATTCCCCTCCACGCAGAGATGGCTCCAGGGTCATTCACACAGAGAAGGCTCACTGGTGTGGGTTAGGAAGCTGGTGAAAGGGTTTCTGGATGCCCACCCTCCCCTTCCCAAGGGCAGCCACCATGCTGGGGACACTGCTGTACACAGAGGAGGCAAGTTACAGAAATGCCCATGTGGTACGGCTTTGCTCCAGAAATCATTCACAAAACACTGCTCAGATACAATGTCAACACTGTGTGGAGCATGCCAGGCTTGACCCATGCATTTGTTTCATCTCAAGATGCTAAATGTGTCAAGAAATTCAGTGAGAAAGAGCCAACAGGCAGGTTCACAGCCCTCCTTGAATCCTGTTTTTGCAGTAGTGTGGGCCCCGGGGCTACAAGGTCCCGAGCTGTAAGACAAGGGAGTCATATGAAAGTCCCACCGTGCCTGCTACTGACCTGCCACCCACTGGCTCTGGATATTAAACCCAAAGCAAACCTACAGTCCTCTAGTCGATTGTGACTCACACCCCTGTAACTCTCAAGGGATGAGCACTATTGCCTTTCAAGACCTTTTCTCAGGTTTCCTCCCCAAGAAAGAATCCTGTTCCCAATAAAGGGTAGTGACCCCTTTGCATGTGTGAATCCCCCACCTCCCCGAGTCTGTTTCATTTCTCCTTGTTCGGGCACCCATGACGGTTCACAGACAAGCCCTGTGAACAGGGCCAGGAAAGGTACCACAGCTGGACCCAAGCACAGAGTCATATGCAAACCGGAGGTCGCCATATCAAAATCACTCAAACTGGGGTCCTTTTCAGAAGAAAAGGAAAGTATTTCAGAACATGGCCAAAATGAAAGACTAACTAATGTCCTTATGAGAAACATGCACCTCGCTGGGTAGAAGAGGAGATTGATTATAAACCGTTTGAAGCAGCATCCGGGCTATGTTGTGGCAGGCAATGTCACAGGTGATGGTTAGCGGGGGCCTGGGCCCCTGGCACGCACCACACTGTGAAACACTAGCTCTGCCAGAGCCGAGAGGCCAGCTGCTCCTCTGGGGCTTGCCAGAGTTCCACCATTACTATTCTCCATACATCTCTGTACCCTGCTATTTTAAGAATTTACAACATCATTTTCTGCATTTTCACATATTCAAACTGCACATATTTAAAGCCTGTAATGTGGCTTGCATTAAATTCTATCAACAATAGCCAGTTTGCGCATAGAGTGGAGTTTACAAAAACAGCTGCTTACACATTCAGAGTGCTACCTACGGCTGGCTTGCTTTTGATAGTGCTGATTAAGCCAGTCTTCTGTAGCTATTGCTACTATCGGGAGAATTTCTAAATTAAAGTGTGAACTTTAGCACACCAGTCAGAATTCTGGGGAAATACTATCCACTTGAAGACCAAATTTGGTGTAAGACAGACTTGGAATGAAACCGATTGTCAGAAAGGATAGAAAGGAATTCTGAGCCCCTTGTAGGCATAGGGTGTAAGGGAATGGCTACAAGATTTGGAATCAGGAGGCTTGGGGATTCCTTAATTGGTTCCAATGTTGCTGTTTATGTACCATCAAGTCAGTTCTGACTCATAGCAACCATACATAGGGTTGCTGAAGCTGTAAATCTTTATGGGAACAGAATGCCTCATCGTTCTCCTGTGGAGCTGCTAGAGAAGCAAGTCTCCTGATTCTAGATCACTGACAGTCAGTGTTAAGGTATTGCCAAGCATTGTGCCAAGTACCTTCTTGTCAACAGCCCTGTGAGGTAGTTGCGAGTGTACAATCCTGTCTATAAAGAAGAAACTCAAACTGGAACTAGAACTCAAAGAGAACAAGCTCCCAACGCTGTCAAAATGCAAAGCTAGCCTTTGAGCCCCAGTATGCTGGCTCCAGGCGCTCATTCTAACCACCACGCTCCACTGGTCCCTAAGCAAGAACCTTACACAAGGGAGTGTTCGTTCACTACCGCACAGAAAACCATCTTCTCCTTAGTCTCACTGATGGTAGGAAGCATTCAGCTCCTTGTTTCTAACAGAGGAACTGAGGATGTGGCACGGCTGTGAATGATGTTCCTTCTAAACAGGAAGTTAAACTCTCAAGGTTGAGGTTTGCAGCTTTTAGTTAAGATTGAATTTGACTAAGCTGGTGCTAAGAACTCCCAGGGGAATGGACCAACTGCTTACCCGGCCTTGAGTCTCTCTCAGACACAGCTCTGATTGCTGGTGAGTTCAGTCTGAAGACATGTCAACAGTTGGAGACCAGTGTGCTGGCCAAGCTCAGCCTTTCTCCAGCTTGGCTGTGTATAAGCTCACCTGGTGAGCCTTTCAAAAAAGGATTCAATGGCCTTAGGGAGGAGTCCACAAATGCATCCAAATGAGCCCATGCAGTTCCTCCAGGAACTGCAGAGACAATGGCTGGGCTGGTACCCAAACCCAAGCCCGATGGTAGATGAGGAAGCGTAAGGGAGGAACAAGGATGTGTTGCTTACGTGGCAGGTGCATGGGTGGGAAGGAAAAGTACACAGTCAGGCAAGTTCCCTGCTCTGGCCCTGCAGAACTGCAGAGCAGGGCTGACTCAGCCTTCTTGTATTCACTGTTTATTCCCTTGATGGGGGAGAGGTTTCCAATGCAACTGGACTGGCTTGATCTCCAGATTGAGCACTCACCTCTTCCAGGAGCCCTTTTACCTGCTATAGCATCATGAACAGGCAGGATAGTGAGGGTGTGCCTTGGGATCCTGAGCCAAGGTTGGTAAATGTATCAGTACAGGCAGCTTTCACAAAGCCCCGAGGGCTCTCTGCAAGTCTGAGCAAACCCCAACCATACAGATGAGAAAGTAC